GTGGGTCGAAACCCAAAATTGAACCCAAATAAATGGCGCGGACCATTCGTTGTCAGTCGAAAATTTAGTGATGTGTTATTTGAAATTCGAGGAGAGGGAAAGACGAAGGCAAGAATAATTCATCACGACCGATTGAAACCCTATTATGACAATAATCCACCCGACTGGATTTTAAGGTTACAAACAATTTGCCTAAGAGACAACTTGATGGGAGCTACTCCGGAGCTTCCACGCGTTCTGCAAGAAGCTTAGAGTGAAGACATTTTGGACACCTAGTTTATTTTAGGGAATGACATGCATTTTTTTTTGTGAAAAGATTTAAAGTTAACTAATGTTGTTTTATTTTATCTAGAGACATATGAACTCCAGAGTTGAATCGGTTATAAAAAGATAATGCTCTAATTATGACATGATGATTGTTATTTCGAGTTGATGTTTTTTTTTTGAGGTATAAAATGTTTTGTGAATCCTAATGACATTAACAATAACATTGAAGGCTTTAAGTAGTTTTGGATGTATACCGACCACAATAATTGCTGTTGCTCTGAATTTTTATTCGATTCTGATATGATACTTGACAATTTTCATTGTAATTGAAATTTTTTTTTGTTTAATATAGTTTTTAAATTTATATCTTAATGCTGTACAATTAATTAAGTTTCTAGATGATGTAGTATTCTTGATCTAGTTGTTGTACACCCATAATTGTTTGATTGTTGTGAATGTACTAGGCGCTCTGACTGACTCAAAACTGACTCTGACCTTAACCACAACTGTTTAGGAGACCGCGTTAGGCCGTTAGGGGTGTCCGTTTAATTCAATTGTCGTATTCGAAGGTAGGGCTACCGTAGGATTGTTTACACCAGGAGACGCATTAGAACCAAAGCGAATGACGTCACGTGTATTACTGTGAGCTGTTTGTAAATGAATGCTGAAGGTCCAAGTCACTTGATGCCATTTAGAAACCAGTCATAAGAATTTTAACGGGGATGTTGTGTAATGTCGGGACGACATTGTTTTGTAAGATGGGGGTATTGTAGAGAGTTCAGCCTCAGTCCAGGTGGACAGGGTGAGGGGAAAAACCCACGGCAGAGTTCAGTCCAGGTGTTTGGCGGGTAGCATATAAATTAAGACGTGGAACACAATGGAGGTCAGCGGAGCGGGGTAAACCCACAGTCGAAGACTGACCAAATAAATTAAGGCGAGGAATGCAGCGGGCAGGGATGAGGGGCAAAACCCACGGCAGAGTTCAGTCCAGGTGTTTGGCGCGTAGCAGATAAATCAAGACTAAGAAGGTAGGGGGAGTAATCTCTAGCGACGCTTGGGTTGGCTGGTGGACCTATAAGAGGGGACGGTTAGATTGGTGACGGAGGAAGGACAGAGAGCAGAGAGAGGTAGAGAACAGCGACGGTAGAGGACGAGGGCAGTCAGAGCTGTGAGATGAATGAAAGTGTAAGCAAGTGACAGAGCCAATAAAGAACACGAGTTTACTCATCAAATGTATCACCGGAGTTGTTTACTTATTGAGTACCAGAGATGAAGTTTGTCGGAGTGTAAATAAGGTTCCCTACAATACCAGGCTTGATGTGAAAAGGATAAGTGCCCTATCCCAGCTATGATGTTAGGAGGATAAGTGCCCTATCCCAGGCATGATGTGAGGAGGATAAGTGCCCTATCCCAGGCATGATGTGAGGAGGATAAGTGCCCTATCCCAGGCATGGTGCGAAAAGGATAAGTGTCCTGTAGGTCTAAATATAAGCTTGTAAATTTAATAAAACCATGTTGCCAAGATTGGTTAGTAGCCTATACCAGGCTGTCAAACTCTGTGATACTGGTAACAGAAAATTGACGATGTGTCCAACACAGAGTTTTAAAATGGAGCTATACAATGTAATCGTATACATTTTACAATTTCACACCATTATAAATCTATCCATCCATCCATCCCTGTGGCGCTACAGCCCAAGTAGGGCTTTGGCCTGCCTCACCACTTCCTTCCACTCAGACCTAACTAATGGCTTTTTTTTTCCATGCTTGGACTTTCAACTGATGTAGATCATTTTCCACATCATCTATCCACCTAAGCCTAGGTCTGCCTTTGAGCCTTTTTCCTCTGAGGTATTATTGATGCACTCTCTTCGTTCCTCTGTCATTTGGATTATAAATCTACACATTTTACAATTTCACACCATTATAAATCTTAACTATAATATGATATTTAGTATATTTTTGAAAGTTTTTATGTGTGGTTTACCAGGGAATTATTGGAAAGGCCTGGGGTGTGCCGCTCGTGAAAGAAGGTTGCTGATCTCTTATGTAAAAAATATCATTTTTCAAAATAATGAATTGGAATAATTAGGAATAAAAAATTACTTTATGCAACAAAACTGCTTTTAAAATATCTTATATTTGTAATCACAGCATATGTTAAAGGGGCTGCACAGTCTCACAATCTCTTGCCGAGGAACTTGCCTTATCAAGAGGTAACAAAAAGTCAGATCTGCATGCATCAGATTCCCATGGCTTCAGCCTTCTAGACAGTGTTGAAGGTGTTGGCTCAGCATTTGATGGTTGTACATTCAATGCTCTCAACCTTGGAATAGGTTTATTGCTCTGTAACAATTCAGCCAACTCTGCCAAACTGAGTGAACATTCAATTTCTGTTTCATTAACAATTGGTGATACCTTATGATCTCCAATTTCTTCTTCTGAAGTAACACATGGATCCTGGCCATACGTTATTGCGGTTTGAGTTGAACTAGTGGGGTTTTCTGCATTGCAATGACCACTGTTAACTTTTACAGGCTGAACATGTACCGCTTCCAGCAAATTATTAGGAGTTTCTGATATATCTGAAGAGTAGGTCCCGTCTTGTGTTATATTTTCTGAGGGAAAAAAGTAAAATTTAATTAATTTACTTGGAAGTAAGTTACCGGTAGCATTAACACTGCGTAATAAAAATTAGGAATATCTTACAAATGAAACCACTATAAAACCTAGGTAAACTTATTTTTTGATAACTTTGGTATGTTGATCTTAATAAAAATATCACTCAATATTTTTAATCATATTTACTAACGGCTAAACTTAATAGAAATGTTTTTTTTTTTAAAAATAGGATTTCTTCTAATACTTCTATATTAATTTGGAAATAATTGATTATATTATATGTGTCTTGGTTCACAGAAAAGATAATAACTGCAAAAAATGTTTGAAATACAATCATATATTCTGTTATTGTTATATTTCTTTAATATAAAGGTGTTGTTCCTAAGCATTGGATTAGTCCCTCAGTTTGCTAACATTCCTGATGAAGTACCAGTTGAGTTGAATGCCACTATGCAAGAGTTTTATTTCAATTTGCATCTATGTACTCCCTCTAACGTGAATTTTAAACACTTTTAATACAAAGGGAAAGTACTCACGATGGTACCTGATGATCAAGGGGGCATAAACATTACCACACATTTCAAAAAGCTAACTAATGCAATAATTTCATGTACAATCATAACATTTAATATTATAAATGTATCATCTGAAAATTCTGCTATAACTGTTATCTATTAAACAAATGTGTAAGATGTCTTAAGTGGAATATCTTTGATAAAATTAAAAGTTGTTGCTAGTCAATAATATTTGGGAAACATGCCTTCAATTTTATTTCCTTTATTTTCTTTCTCATTCATTTAGAATTTTACATACCATTTTGTTTATATTCCCTTGTCTGGGAAGAATTTTTGCACTTCCACAAAATATATTGTTCATAATCGATTTTGGCTACATTCCTGGAGGAAGTTGTTTGATATAATTTAAACATTTTTATTTATAAAACATTTCATCTCATAAATAAAAGTCTGCACCACATAATTCATCAAGTATTGGTAATGTTGCCAGGTGTCGCTTATAGTAGTAAGGTAACACTGGCACTGAATACCCCTTTGATAGCTGTGGGTAAGCCCCAGGCTATACAATAAGACAACATATACACATACACCAAAATTAAAAGTAGCACAACACTATTTCATCAATAAATTACATGATATGGGCTATTCTATATATATATATATATATATATATATATATATATATATATATATATATATATATATATATATATAAATATATATATGAAGAGTTGATTTTCAAAATGCTTTTTCTCCATTTTTGGCGTTTTGAGATATTCGACTTTTTCTGCTACGCAATGATGGCTCAAATTTTCAGAACAGTAATTGTTAATTTAGGTATATATTCAAAATATAAGTTAGATTATGATGAAAATTGAAATTTAGGTTAATTAAAATGTATTTATTTACTTGGTTCAATTTCCTATTTTGTTTCAAAATGATGTGTATCCAAATTTTACTTAGCGACAAAATGCTGTATAATATCCATTTTAATAGCTCAACATTATTCCCAGTAGCAAATAATTTAGTTTATTTATAGGTTACAAACCACTTACGTAACAAAATAAAATAAAATTGTATCATATACTATATATAATTGTGTATGATTAATGTTTTTTTTATTGATATATTTTAACAGAACGGTATTATAAATGCTGGAAAGTCCCCTGTAATAGTGTAAAGTTTAGAGTGCTATAAGTCTGCATGGTTTGTTTTTATAAATCTGAATTCTTAACAAAAGTAAACAAGACAATGTTCAATCCACAAATCATTTTATTTGAATTTAGAACAACAACAAAATAGAACACAATGAAGTGTCTGATTTAGAGTAAGCAGCATCTTCAATAGCACTTTTGTTCCAGGAAACAGTCTATGCTTCTTATTTACATTCAAATCACAGGGCAAATATTTCTGTCCTTGAGCACTCTTTCTTCTGTAATGGCTCGATCTGCAAGTGAAAGATTGAATGTGTAATAAATAACACAGCTAACTCTGTAAATTGTAAAGCAACTTTTTATTTTCATTTCCTTAACACTTCTGATGTGTAGTAACCATCAGTTTTACCATGTTAATGTAAAATGAACTTTAGTTGTTATTTAATAAATTTACCGGTAACTTACCTTGAGAACCCTTTATCCTGATTATACGTAACGGAGGGTATCTTTCCTCCGCTTGAATGACGAAATGATTTTTCTTTTTTTTGTGTTGAGCTTTTTTTTTTTCTTTTCAAGATTTTATAGTGCAAACAACACTTTCATCCACGCCGCCATTATCCACCATGTTTGTTGTTGTTTAGCTTCGTGATGTTTAGTGCGCATGCGCAGAATGCCACAGAATCAGCTTGCCAATCTCACAGATTGGTCCGAAAGTATATACAGCATTTTGATTAAAATTCACAACGCGTTTTGAAAATAAGATCCTTTTTGGACATAGAATAATATAGGATTAAAATGTGTTTTGTAGATAAACTTTAACATGTCCAAAAGTAACCTGGTTTGCTCTACAAGACTGTACAGTTATCTCATTTTTTTCAAAAATGGCGGATACAGCATTTTAAAAATCGACTCTTCATATATATATATATCTGTATATCTTCTCAACCTTTATATATATACAAGGATAATTTATGATTTTGACACCCCTGAGATTGACGTCCAGTAGGATTGCCCCTTTGCCCCCCCTCTCCCAATCGCACAGCCCTGATAATAAGTCAAAGAAGTTAGACACTTGTAAATGTCTATTCTAAATCAGTGGTTCTCAACCTTTCTAATGCTGCGACCCTTTAATGTATTTCCTCACGTTGTGGCGACCCTCAACCAGAAAATAATTTTTATTGCTACTTCATATTGGTAGGGTATGTGTTTTCTGATGGTCTTAGGCGACCCCTGTGAAAGGGTCAATCGACCTCCAAAGGGGTCATGACCCACTGATCTAAATATTTTAAATATAAATATTGTTGAGTTTCCAATACTAGTAATACAATTTTCACAGAGATACAAGTGGAAATTCCGTAATTAAAATTAAAAATGTCTTTACTAACGCTATTTCCTATTTATGATGCTTTTTCATTCAGTAAATACCTTTAAAAAGATGTGTATTATTTTAATGTCTACCACCATCCCTGATGAAAGAAGGAGCATATGTTACTTGTGCCATGACACGTTTTTTAAATAAGTAGTAAATAATAATGAGTTAGTTTGAAAATTGTTAGACAACTAACTAGTATTTTATTTTGATATTTAAAGTAAACTAATTCATACTTATTGAAGAAGAATACTTTTGCCCGAACAAATTCAGGAGCTATCTGTGCTGACTCAATCGACTTTGAAATCACACTCCAGCCTGCTTGGAAACTATCATTATGGTCAAAATCAAATGCCTCAAACATTATAAAGTTTGGTTCCTCCATCGAAAAAAGGTAGGCCTATTTCATAAATAAGCTGAAAAGTAAAAGCAATATTTTTCAGTTATTTATTTAACCTTTTCATTACAAGTCAATACTGTTGTGGTACAAAGTAAAAGGGGATTTAAAATTATTAAGTTGAAGGCCTTTGGATGCAGGCAAAAAAGAAAATTGCATTACTACCAGAGCGAATCAAGCAGGGCATTGATTTCAAGCTATTTGGTCTGCATTGCAGTGGCAATATTGGCACATTTTCTGAGAATATTTGAATTTGATGCTACTGAGTCTGAGTGAAAACTGTGTCATTTTAGTTGTTGTGAGACTTTTATTTACATTCTAAATATTAATATGCGATTTTTGTTGTGAACTTCATGAAAACAATTTTTATGTATTTTGCTACTGTGTATACGTTTTAGAATTTGGGACTGCCGTTTCCAGGATTACCTTGAACTTTATACTAGACTAGGGTTCCCAGAAAAAGAGGAAACTCTAAATTTTCACCCAATCATGTTACCAACTGGTTAAGTATTGTACAAATAAAAAAAGTAAAGCTACATAATATATTGTTCTTATACTTTATACTTATTGTAAATAGTTTCAACTCTAAACTTGTATTAAGTGAGTGTTCAGAACTTAGGATCATATGGGCTAATGGTAGTTATGGATGCCACGACGTTCAGGTTAGGCATAGGGATCGATTTAGGGTTCAGGTTAGACATAGGGATCGATTTAGGGTTCCGGTTACGGTTAGGCATAAGGATCGGTTTAGGGTTCAGGCTAGGCCGCTAGGCATAGGAATCGATTTAGGGATCAGGTTAGGCATAGGTGTCAACCAAGATGGCGGCCATTGAGAAAATAGTGGCATCCCTACTCACCATTTACCGATAAAACGAAATTCGATCAGAAATAATATTAATATAATATACGTACCTGAAGTCGAAGTGCCTGAACTGCAAAATTACCATAAAAATAAGTCATAAGTCCAATATACCCGGTAAAATTACAAATATTTAAAAATCTATGCTCCCAATCTCATACTCTTGTTGTGTTTGACTCCTTTACTGCAGCATTAGGCCTATGCAGTATTCAGATATATATAAAAAATATTTAAAAAGCAACTAGGCCCTAAAAAATAAATGTTTTGAAACTGAATCCAAAGTTTTAATTTATTGCAGTAGCAGTCATTTGCAGTAGAAAAAAAGAAAGGTGTTAAATAATTTGGCATCGATTGTAAAAATAAGGAACAAATGCTTTGTTTACGTCAATAGGTAACTTAGACGTAACCTGATATCTCAAAACTAACTTATTATGCTTTTTTTTTTAAATTTTATGTTCACATACTTATAGTACTTATACGCATGTTGAAAAGGGGGTTGGGGGGGGGAGTGTTCTCTTGGTGAATTCAACTTAGTTGTTGAGAAACCTTTGCCTTCTTAATAGCATTTATCAATGCTTATGGAAATCTTACACATATTCTCCCTTTCCTTTCCCCTTTCCAGTGGCATCTACGCAAAAGGGGGGGGGGGGGG